CGTTTGAGGAGCAATTGCAGGCAGTCGAGAGAGTCCTTGGATGGCTTTCACCTTTTCTGTGAAGCAGGGAGCAGAGCTGCGTGCAGGCTGGGCCGAGGCCCTGGGTGTGCACAGGAACACACACAGTGAACAGGTGGGCGGTCCTGTCCCCGCAGAGGGGCTTTGGGAGAAAGGACTGGCAATCTACTTCTGAAGAATGCACCGTGGAAAACCCTCCGGAGCAGAGCTCTCTGCTCTGACACTCAGGGGGTGTCCTTAGGTCAGAATCGAGTTGACAGTAACTGGGGTTACTGTGGGGTAGGAGACTGCGGGGGAGAAGGAAACGATGAGAAACCCCGGTGCCTAAGAGCGGGCAGCACACACTGGGCATTAGGGACCCAGGAGGGGTTGGAGGGGTTTTGACACTGTGGTGGGGCCGGTCTGCAGATGTGTGACTGTCCTCCTGAGTTGGACCGGACAGAGTAGAATGTTCCAGAAGACACGTGAGTGGGGGACAGGCCAGAGTGGCCAAGTGAGGGGCTGGGAGTTCCAGGCAGACAGACAAATAAGCAAGCACCCCCCCCACACACACCTCCCCAAATTCATTGCCAGTGATGGACGCAGACTCACGATGACCCTGGAGGGCAGAGCAGCACTGCCCCTGTGGGTTTTGGGGACTGTAACTCCTTACAGGAGCAGAAAGCCTCATCTTTCTCCCACGGAGAAAGCGGTGGTTTCGAACTAACCTCTTGGCAATTAGCAGCCCATCGCATGAGCATTGCACTACCACCAGGGCTCTGGGAGTTCAAACTATGGAGGGCTCTTTGTACAGCACCTTGAACTTGGTTCCCAGCCCCTGTCCAGACTTCTGCAGGCATCCTCCCGTGCTCCTTCCTGACTCCAGGTCCCCAGGGCTCTGTCTGCACGGATACCGGGCCCCCCACCCAGGGCTCCATGCTATGCTGTGTCCCCAGGCAGCGTTCTCCCTGTGTGTCTGCTACACCACTGGCCTGGCCTTTCCCCAGTTTGTTTTTTAGGACGGGTCCCTGGTGGTGCAGATGGAGGCATGCTCCACTACTAACTGGAAGGCTGGCGGTTTGAATCTACAGGAGGCACCTCAGGAGCCCTGGTGGCCTCGTGGTGACATGTTAGGCTGCAGTTGCACAAATAGCAGTTCAAAACCACCAGCTGAGCTGAGAGAGAAAGAGGAGGTTTTCTACTCCCGTGGAGTGGCAGCCTCAGAAACTCACAAGGCCAGTTTCACTCGGTCTACCCTATAGAGTCACTGAGTCGGAATCAACTTGATGGCAGCAAGTTTGGTGTTGAGAGGCACCTCGGGAGACATGGAAATCTGCATGGTGCGGTTCTGTGGGGCCCCCTGGACCTCCAAGACTCAGCATCTATTTGAGGGCAGCTACCACCACGGCTTATTGGGCTGCTAACTGCAAGGTGGCAGCAGTTCAAAACCCTGAGCCGCTCTGTGGGAGAGAGACAGGGCTTTCTCCTCCCCATCAAGAGTTACAGTCTCAGAAACTCATAGGAGCAGTTCTGCTCTGTCCTGTAGGGTTGCTATGAGTTGGCACTGACTCGATGGCAGGGAGTTTGAGACCACTGCTCCTTACACTGATCTTCTAGGGCAGAGCAGAACTGTCCCTGTGAATTTCCAAAGTTGTCAGTCTTTCAGGGAGTGGAGAGTCCCATCTTTCTCTAGAGGAGCAGGTGGTGATACCAAACTGCTTCCTCTTGTGTAACCAGTTGGTATTGACTGGGTGGCAGTGAGTTTTGAGTTTGACAGTACCTGCCCTACTCTGGGCCTTTCTTCCCCTAGGGGCCTCCTCTGGCCTCCAGCTGGACACTGTACCGCCCCTCCACCACCCACTCAGTGTCATGAAAGAGGGTCTCACTTAGCTCGGGGTCTGTGGCTCAGCTTGTGGGTGAGGGGCTGTGGCAGTCACATAATCTGTTGTCAACTTGAGACTATTAAGAGTGGATGGGGTGGAGTTTAGCCTGTCAACTAGGTCACAGCTTGATGACCTCGAGGTGCTAAGGAGATAAATAGCTCACTGGAGGCAGGACACACACTCAATCCCTGCAAGGCACTGCTGCTGACAAGACACATGGAGCTACACTCGAGCCCTGGAGCTGAAGGAGTCGCGTGGAGAGGCTGCCTGCCAGTGCTGAGCTGCTTCCACTGCCACTGGATCCACAAGACTTTCCACCCACTGGCCTGTGATCTTCCTGCATTTAGCATCATTGCATGTGTTGCCTGAGTCTGAAGAGGAATTTTTAGTTTGGTATCAGACATATGCATTAAGATCAGACTTATGGATTTGATTTGGACTTGGCTGGGATGTTTTCTTAAGGTACAATTACTCTTTGATATAAAGTTCTCTCTAACACACATATGAGTATCTATGAATTTGTTTCTCTAGTCCACTGGGACTAGCACCAGGGCAGCTGTGTGAAGTCGGGCCCTGAGCTTGGGAAGACTGGGGATTTGAGAAGAGCTGGAACTATTTGAAAGGGCAGCAAGAGCTGATTCAATTAAGCCACAGACGAAGGATCGGTGGCAGTGTGATCAGTGTCATTTGGGGCCCTGTCCCCAGTTCAGCTCTCTGTTCTTTAAGCCACTGTGACAGGGCTCCACCGGGCACCCCCAGAGGGAGCCGGGAGACAGCGGAAGATCATTGGCTGTTAGCCGCCCGCCTTTCAGTATCACTGCGCACTCGGCCAAAAGCGAATTTCTCAAGAGTTTGTTATTCCAGGTGGCTGATTGCCAAACCACAAACCCTCAGTCAGCGCAATCCGTCAGCTTCCTGCCGGAGAAGGATATGCTAATGACATGCAAATGACCCGCCGAGTGGGCGCTCCGCGATCATTCATCCAGTAACCACGGCTCCTGCAATATATTGCTATGAAATATTAGACCCAGTTATTTTATGTAATGATATAATACAGGTTTGTCTATTGCACTGTTGTTTTAATCTATAATTATATGTAATCTCGCACCATTCCTACAATACAGTAATGCAATATAATTATAAGGCACTATACATCTCATTCATTATCAATATAATAGCACTTTGGATCATTAGTGCCTTCTGGGGAAGCAAGCACCCTTGTGCCTGTTCCCATGATCGCGACCTTCCTGTCACCCTGGATCCACATCCTGGGTGGCAACGGGCTCACCCAAAGGGCTCCGGACGTGTCCTTGGGACATTGGTGGGTGAGCACCGCCCACAACCCCAGCCCTTCCTCTCCACTCTTGGCCTCACTAACGTCTTGCCATCTGCGCCCCACAATGCTGGCAGATGAGGGCCGGTGGGCTGAGGACAGGCCCAGACCCTCTCAGGGGCCCCTGTCAGCTGAGACTGCTCACCTGAGCTGGTGTGTCGCCGCTGGAAGGCCTAACCCCGCAGGAGAGGTCTGTGTTCCCCGACCACCGCAAATCCCCGTATTTACCAACAAGTAGAGGTTTGCAACATGAATAATCAGTGTGTCTTAGGAGATTAAAAATAGCTGACAAAAGCAAGACAGGATGACGGATCGAGCTCAGTATACTCCCACATAGAAAACGTCTCCTTTTTCATGTATTTATTACGGGATGACAAACAGTCGGAGGCTGGCACTTCCAGAAGGTTCTAGGGCATGGCTGGCCAGGCAGGGGGCCGTGGCACAGGCTGGGGCGTCAGGGCTGGCCCAGGCTCAACCCCCCAATATTAATATCCTCCTCATCGCATGGGGATTCCCCATGATCTCCATAGCAATATGACAATTCAAAGTGACTGAGCCATCTCTGGGCTCCACTTGGGGGAGTTAAAAGCCCACGATGAACATTCACATCCTGTCTCCCTCTGAATCCATCTTTGCTGTAACATTTGTCAAGTGTCCAATTAGCCACTGGCGGGGGGTGGGGTGGGGGGGATGACAAATTAAGGGGTAGGTCTGGCCTCACAGGCAAGAAGGTATCATGCGGGGAGATGTGCTTTCTGGTGGCAGCTGACAAGGATGGGGCGGCAGGAGAGGGTGCAGGAAGGTCGTGGGAAGAAAGCTCTAGTCATGTGACCTGCTACCTCTGGGTTATAAGGTGGGGCCAGGCCAGCCGGACATGTGCCACCCTCTGGGGCACTAAAACCCAAACCCAATCTGTCCCTGTCCAAGTGATGCCCATGCACTCAGGGCCACTCCATGCATCGCAGGGTAGAACTGCACCATAGACCTCTCTTGGCTGTGATCCTTATGGAAGTAGACAGCCAGGGCTTCTTCACTGGGTGGGTTCAAACAGCCAACTTCTAGGTCAGTAGTCAAGGGCCAGCTCTTTTTGCTACCCAGGGACTCTCCAAAAAGCAGGGCTGAGCTGGAGCCTCCCCCAGGCTTCCGTTCTCCCAATCTAAAGGAAGAGGCCTTGGTCTCCACCCAGAGTAGCACCCACCTCCAGCTATTCTCACCAAGCCTGCACCCACGTCCTCTACCACCACGTGAAACTTCCAGCAGAGGGCAGGCTTGTGCAGGTGGTTCAGGCCCACTGACTTCTTGCAGTGATCCTGCCCCCTGTCCCAAACAGGTTTCCTGGGATGTGTGGGTCGGAGTGAGGAGTGGGATTCCTGGTGTGTCATAGGACAGCCCTATTGTCCTGACACATTTTCACCATTGGTTCCAGCGTTGCCCCGAAATCCCAGCAAGTCTCTGGGAAGGGGCTTCTGACTCAGGCGGCTCTATGTGCCTGGCCGGTCTGGCTGCGCATGCCCTACACTGCCTTTAGATGATGGGGACTTTGGGGTCAGAGTGACCCACCTCGGTCACGGAGGGAGGCCGATACAGTCAAGGCCCCCTATTTCTGTCTGGTCGCCCCGTGGTCCTCCTTTGGTTTGGTTTTGTGAGAAGGACTTGGGGGGGTCGATCACTGTCTTATGCGTGATCCGATCTCACGTCCGTCTCCACTAGGGTGGGTGCTCGGTCAGCCAGGAGGGACGTGGGTCTGCCTCAGTGAACACAGGGAGAGGCCTCCGGGGCCTCATTACCTTTCCACGTGGTCCACGTTGCCTGCCACGCCAAGTCCCCCGAGGGTGTAAATCTTCCCATCATAGACCAGGCTGTTGTGCCGACAGCGGGGGACGGTCATTCTGGAGACAAGGTTCCAGTTATCGAGCAGGGACATATAGCACCAGACATCAGCCAGCGTCACCCCTGATTCCATCCCACCTGTAGGCAGTACGGGGTGGGGGGCAGAAGAGCAGGCAGGGAGTGAGGTGGGGCTGAGGCTGGGCAGGCCCCGCCCCAGGGTCACAGGAGAGGGGTCACCTACACAGTAGACACTTCTGGGCCTTGGCCTTCCTCAGCCCTCACAACAGGGGACGGGTCCCCTTGGGAAGCCCATGCCACCCCCACCCCCACCCCGAGGGGCCTCACCTGAGAGGTAGATATTGTCCCCGGCACTCACGACACTGAAGAATTCCCGCTCGTAGAAGGGCAGGGAGGCCAAGGGGTACCACTTGTTGCTCTGCGGGTTCCAGCAGGTGACAGCCACCAGTGAGCGTTGCGTCATCCCCACCATCTGACGGCCCCCAACCAAAACGATGACCTCAGCCACACCTGCAGGGACACGAGGGGCACCCTTGAGGCGCACCCCGCGTGGTGCTTCCTGGGGTGGGGGGGGGCAGGGAGGGACCGTCACGAGGGCCAGTTCAGGGGTGGGCAGGTGGAGGCCTATCCTTTCCTACCTGCTGAGAGGCGGGGTCTGGTCCGGGGTGTCTGCATCTCCTGGCGAGCGTGAGGCAGCATGTGGTAGCGTTTGGCCTCGTTGACCAGGTCCCGGCACGCTTCGGAGGACTTGATGAGCTCCTCGTTGTCCACCACGTTGAGCAGGTAGCTGGGGTGGATGAAGGGAAGGCGCACCACGGCCAGCAGCTCCGCGGCATACTGTGGGGGTGGGGGGGCGGGAGGAGGGGACAGGGAGTCAGTCGGTTCGCATCTGAACACACTGGTTTTGGTTGCACTGAGAAGAGAGGAGGCATAAGGTCTGGGCACGTCTGGCTGTCCTGGGTGTGGGAGGGGGGATGCTCTGCTCAGCCCAGTCTGGAGTGGGTGCTAACACCTGCTAGAGGGAGGGAGGGAGAGGCCCAGCCGGCCGCAGCCACCCCTCTCTCTGTGCCATCTCTGCTGAGCCTTCCCCTTCACCCCACCCAGATGGGGCCTGTGTCCTGCCAGGCAGGGCATGAGGGACACTAGGGCCGAAGCAGGCAGACTCTTGGATCCGTGTCCCTCCAAAGGGGATCATGGGAACTGATGCGATGACCTGGGAAAGTAAGCTTTCCTTGAAAGGAGGTTGGTGGCTGTCCAGCTTGGCCCTCGCAAAGGTCAGAGGCCGCGTCTCCCCCACGTCACGCAAGTGGCACCCCATTGCCTTCCACACACCCGTGGGTCCCTTGCCCTCGGCCGCAGGCTTTTCAGAGACGGACCTGCAGCGGCCCTCCTGCCTGGCAGACGACTCAGCCTGCTGCTCTCGCTTCACCCAACCAATCAGCGATGACCACTGCATGTCACCACCTCGCGCCACCACTCTGGGACACCCACGAGCTCCTCACTGGGCTGCCAAGATGCGGTTCGATGCGGGTGTCATTCCGTACAGGGCAAGGGTAGGACACAGAGGAAGTGTCTACTTAGGGGGCATCAGGGGAGTCAGCCTTCACAGAGCAGATGGCGCCTGAGCTGGGTGCTGCAGGGTGGTGGTGGCTGTTGGCTGCAGCTGACCCCCAATTCAAGGTGGCCCCATGCACCAGGGCTTGCACGGTCAGATTTTTTTTAAAGCATCAGTAGCCAGGCCTTTCTTCCTGGCTTCCTCTTACTCTGGAAGCTCTGCTGAAATGTGTTCAGCCTTCACCGACAGACCAGGCAATGGCGATGCCTGGAGGTGTTTTTGTTGGTATCGAACCTGGCTTTCCTGCCTTGAAGACAAGAACCCTGCCAGCGAACCCCCACTGCTCTTGTGGAGAGATTCCCCCCTTACTGTGGAGTTGATCAACACTTGTAACCACCCCAGGACGGAGCACAACTGCTTTCACCGGGTTTTTCAAGAGAACCATATCTATGGAGGCTCGGACAGGACATTGTCATTAATTTCATTTCTTGAGATGGGCCGTGTTAATATACACAGTAGGTTTCAGTCAGAGCCACCCCCCACTCCAAAAAAAATATCCCTTCAGATTCCTTATCCCTAAGAAAGAAAGGAAAAAAAAGCTGTCATTTTGAAGGGAGCAGGCTGCCTCACCTTTCTCCTTTGGAGCAGGTGGTGGGTTTGAACCACCAACCTTACGGTTAGCAGTGTGCTTAACCCCTGTGCAACTAGCAGACACAAATCTGTTTTCTTGTTGGCTACAGGAGGGTTCTGGCAGGGTGAGGGCTGGGCAGCAGACAGGGAGAAAGCCGGACCCTCTGAGGCCAGGCTTGCTACAGATTCTGGAGTTGATCCTGTCGAGCTGATGAGGGAACTAACGAGGGTTTTTAACCAGAGAAATGGCACGATCAAGTCTGCTCTTCAGAAAGACCACTCAGGCTGCAGGGTGCAAAACGGATTTGGAGGGGACTCGCTTAGGCGATGATGATGGCAGTAATTCTGGGGAGATTAAGTTGGCCTGAATTGGGGGGGGGGCTTGAGAGAAGCAACCCCATTTATGAGAGACAAAGGAGAGAGAAATGGCAGAAATGTGGGGCCCAGGGCCAGTGGAAAGGGACAGTGGCGTCCATCTTGAGTCATGGGATGAACTGGAGTCAGAGGCACAGGTCGACATACAGGCTCGGGATCGATGAACTAGAGAGGGGGGGGGTGATCCAGTAGGCGAAGCTCATGGGGTCTGATGGTAAGGGTCTAGCTCTCGGGAGAGCCATCTGGGCTGGGGGCTGGGATGGCAGGCAGCACATCGGCAAGTTTTGCCTTTCCTTCCGCTGGAAGTGAACCTGGCCCCTCCCACCTTGTCCTCCTGGAAGTGGGGACTGGGTGGTGGTGGTGGTGGTGGGGGGGGCACTAGCTCTGTAACCTGTGCTGTAGGTCCCAGCACTGGGCCCATCTCACCTTGCCTTGGCCCCACGGGTCCCTGCTCTCAATAGCCCTCGTCCTCTGGCTTTCAGTGACCCCAGGTCACTCTGGGCTTCAGCATCCCTCACCCCATTCTTCCTGGGTGGGTCCTCACCTTGGGGCCAGTGTCCCCATTCGTTGGTCTCTGGGTGGATTCTGGGTTCTCCGAGAACGCCCCAGGCCATGGGCCAATTCCTGGGGCTTCCTTACATGTTAGAAGCAAGGCGCTTCTGCTCTGGGCTAGGCCTCCCCCAGTACTTTCAAGCCAGCAGCACTTCCCCTACCTCAAGACCTCTCCCTGGAGCCCCCGCTCCCACCCCTGCCTTTCCTGTTCCCTCTGCACCGTCTCCGAGCCTCCATCTGTCCCGTCTGAGGCACTCACAGCCTCTCTCTGCCACACCTTCAGCGGTGTTCCACCTCCACATGGTCTCCACTCAGTCCCTGTGATCTCTATCACCCCACCTTCCCCTAGTACCCAGAGGATGTGGGGCTCCTCCTGCTGGTCTCAGCACAAAACTCCTAGAGGTTCGCTCAGACAGACCCTTCTCCCTGTGGGGCCATGGGGCTGCCCAGCCGGGCTCTATGGCTTCCTGTTTGGCTTGGGTTCTCCTTCTGGGCAGAATTCCCATCTCGTCACCTCTCTGCTCTCTCAGTGTCCAGGAGCCTCCTTTCCCTCTGCCCAAAGAACCCAGGTGGCGGGCGTTGTGGTTAGGTGTTGGCCTGCTAACCAAGAGGCCGGCAGTTCAAAACTACCAGCTGCTCCTCGGGAGAACGATGAGGCTTTCTACTTCCATAGTGAGTTTCAGAAACTCACGAGGGGCAGTTCTACCCTATCAGGCAGGGTCTCTGTGAGTCAAAACTGACCGGATGGCAGAGTTTGGATTGGGTTGCCTCCCCCAGGCTCACCTCCTCCCCCTGCTGGTCAGACCATGCAGCCCGGCCTTCTCTCCCCAACTTCTTGCTGGCTCTCCCTCCCTGCTGTGATGCGCACCGTCTAGTCTACCTGTGCTCGAGAAGCAGGGTCCTTCTTGATCCACTTGATGACGGTCTCGTACACCAGCTCCTCGGCCTTGGTGTTGAGGCTGTCGTTGGAGAGGTACGCGATGAAGTCATCCTTGGAGATGCTGAGGATCTCCTCCTGGGCCGCCACCTCGGGGAAGATCTGCAGTGCGAAGGCCTTGGCCATGTGGTAGAGCTCGCTGCACTGCACGGCCTCGGCCATGGCCAGCACCCCCAGGCAGTTGCTGGCTGTCAACTGCTTCTCTGGGGGCGAGAGCGAAGGTCACTGACCAAAGACCCTGGACGGGGGTCACCCCTTCCTTCTACTGCAGCGGTTCTCAACCTGTGGGTCACGACCCCTGTGGGGGGGGTCGAAGGACCCTTTCAGAGGGGTCGCCTGATTCATCACAGTAGCAAAATGACAGTGATGAAGTAGCAATGAAAATAATTTTATGGTTGGGGGTGGGGTCACCACAACATGAGGGACTGTATTCAGGGTTTCGGGGTCCTATTTGCTCAGCTCCAGCTGCCTCCCACTCTCCATGCATCACGGGGTCTGGGAGCTTCATGGCCATTCCCCTGGTTCTCTTTTACCCCGACTCCCTTGGGCCCTCTTTGGGTCCCCTTCAGCTCCTGCAAGTCCTGGGACTGAGAGGCCTCAATCATTGTGGTGTGGTGGAGGCCCAGTTCCTCACAGCTGGGACCAGGTCGGGGCCGAGGGTCCCACTAAGGTTCATGATGTCTTCCATATTGGTTGGTTCCCGTTGGGTTTTCCCAGGGTTCTTTTGGGGCCGGTCGGTTGTTGGCCCCCCCGGCCCCCCCTTGTTGGCCTTCCCTTTTTTCCGGGTTGCTTTGTTTTCCCTGACCTGACCTTCCAGAATCTGGACTCAGTCTGGCCTGCTCTCTTGAGGTTTGCGTTGGTCCCGGAAAACCCAGCTTTGAAGATGGGGGCCTGACAATTCGATATTGCTTGGCCCCCTAATTGTCTGCACTTCATCTGCTTCTATACCCAGGTTCAGCCCACTTTCTGTCTCAAATTCCAGGGGTTTGGTGTGTGTGTGTGTGTGTGTGTGTGTGTGTGTGTGTGTGTG